CTACTTCATTGCCACCCAATATACATTATACTTTTCTACTGTTAAGCTTTTTATTACACATCATTCCTTGTAATGCCTACCTTCTCTCTTTCTGCTATACATTTATCAATGCTTAGACAAAGTCCTCTTCCACATTATAATTTCATATACAACTCCAGCCTTCACCAAATCTCCCTCTTATTCAAAACCACATGGCAATGTCTGAGTTACTGTTCTGGATTACAACTTACCACTTCATTAATTCATACCTTGTCTTCTTAATACATCAGTATAATTTATTTTTACCCACAGTGCCTAGCACAATCCAAAGCAGAAAGTAAAATATTTGTTAAATTAGCTTAATGTTTTCTAACAAATTTTGGAATTTCCAGATAGAATGACTACAAAACCTATGAGGGGCTAAAAGTGTTTCCAAAAGTTTACTTTCAGGAGTTAGCCACTGGAAAAATAGATTCACAAAACTAAAATGAGTCTAAGACAGACAGTAGAAGGCTACATGTCAAAAATTGTGTGTATGTGAAAAATCTGAAAGTAGAGTACTGCAATGGTCATTATCAAAATCATTAATGAACTCTCATTTCCTAAATTCAACATTCTAATTTCTATTGAGTTTTAATTAACACCCTTTCTATTAGATTGTCTGCAAAGTGTACTGTAATAATTCCTTCCATCTCACAGCACCCTTTGCCACGTGACTTTGCTGTTCCTTCCATCATGAGGGGAAATTTATTTCCATATCCTTTGAGTTAGGACCAGACTTCTGACAGATTTTGACAACAGACTATGACAACAGTGACACTGTGCAAATTCTTTCCCCTCTTCTCTTATGCATTTTTTATGCAATTAACCATTTTCAAGTGTTCAGTTAAGTGGCATTATTTACACTCACACTTTCATACTAGCATCACTACCATCCACTTCTGGAACGATTTTTGTCTTGCAAAACGGAAACTGTGTACCTATTAAACAATAACTCCCTATTTCCTGCCCGTGAGAACCAACATTTTATTTTCCATCTCGATGAATTTGACTATTATAAGTAGAATGATATAGCATTTGTCCTTTTGTGACCTGGCTTATTTCACTTAGCATAATGTCTTCAGTGCTCATCCATGTTGTAGCATATTGCACAATTTCTTTCCTGAGGCTGAATAATATTCCATTTCATGTATTACAACATTTTTTTTAATCCTTTCATCCATCAATGGACACTTGGGTTGCTTCTACCTTTTTGTCATTATGAATAACGCTGCCATGCAAATGGGTGTACAACTATCTCTTTGAGACCCTGCTTTCAATTCTTTGGTACATACCTAGAGGTAGAATTGCTGGATTATATGATAACCCTGTATTAGTTTTTTTTGAGGAGCCACCATATTGCTTTCCATAGTGACTACAACATACTTCCACCAGCAGGTGCACAAGGAAAGGTTCCAATTTCTCTACATCTTCCGCAACACTTGTTATTTTCTCTGTTTGTTTTTTGATAATAGTCATTTGAATGGGTGTGTAGTATCTAATTGTGGTTTTGATATGCCTTTCTCTAATGATTAATGATAATTATTGAAGCTTTTCACGTACTTATTAGCCATGTTTATCTTCTTTGGAAGAATATCTATTTAAGTCATTTGCCCCCCTTCCCCTTTTTTTTTTCTGAGACAGAGTCTTGCTCTGTCGCCCAGGCTGGAGTGCAATGGCGTGATCTCGGCTCACTGCAACCGCCGTCTCCTGGGTTCAAGTGATTCTCCTGCCTCAGCCTCCCAAGTAGCTGGGATTACAGGCATGTGTCACCACGTCCTAGCTAATTTTGTATTTTTAGTACAGGTGGGGTTTCACCTTGTTGGTCAGGCTGGTCTCGAACTGCTGACCTCAGGTGATCCACCCACCTCAGCCTCCCAAAGTGCTGGGATTACAGGCATGAGCCACCATGCCCAGCCCCTTTGCTTATTTCTGAAATGGATTGTTTGGGGTTTTTTTGTTGCTGTTGAGTTGTAGGAGTTCATTATACATTATGAATATTAACCTGTTATCACATATATGATTTACAAATGTTTTCTATCATTTCATTGGTGGCCCTCCACTCTGTTGATAGTATCTTGTGATGAACTCAAGTTTTCCATTTTGATGTAGTCCAATTTATCTATTTTTTTGTTACTTGTTTTTAGTGTCATAGCCTAGAAATCACTGCCAAATCCAAAGTCATGAAGTTTTTCTCATATGTATTTCCTAGTAATTTTTTAGTTTTAGTTCTTACTGTAAGATCTTTGGCCCATTTTGAACTAATTTTTGTATATGGTGTAAAGTAAGACTCCAACTTCACTCTTTTGCATGTGGATATCCAGTTTTCCCAGCACGATTCATTGATATGCCTCTTCTTTACCCCCAATGAATGGTCTTAGGACCCTTGTCGAAAATCATTTGACCATAGATGTGAAAAGTTTACTTCTCAGCTCTCTATTCCATTGGTCTACATGTGTCTTTCTGACAGTACCACACTGTTTTGATTTCAATAGCTTGGTAGTAAGTTTTGAAATCAGGAAACATGAGATCTTCAATTTTGTTTTTCTTTTTCAAGATTGTTTTGACTAATTAGGGTCCCTTGAGAATCCATATGAATTTTAGGATGAGTTTTTTCTACTTTTGCAAAAAATATCATTAGGATTTTGACAGAGATAACAATGAATCTGTAGATCGGTTTAGGCAATATAAACATCCTAACAATATTAAAGCTTATGATCTATGAATATGTCTTTTCATGTATTGATGTCTAATTTCTTTCACCCATATTTTTGCAGTTTTCAGTGTACAAGTCTTTTACCTACTTGGTTATTCTTAAGTATCTCATTCTTTTTTATGCTATTATCAATGGACACTGTGCAGATTCTAAGTTGACGTCAAGAGGCCTTACAACCTTGTTTTCACCTTCTTGGAAGGCTACTATGGCCACGTAAAAACCCCAGGCTTGCCTGATGAGATCATATGACCTAGTCAATAGTCAGCACAATTGCCAACACATTTGTGAAGTAACTTTAGAGAGACTGTTCAGCCCCATTCAAGCCAGTAGATGACCGCAGTCACTTAAGAAACCCCAGGTGAGCCCAGCAGAAGACACACTTAGATAAACCTAGACAAACTATTAACCCACAAAATTGTGGTTTTGATGAAAGTAAAATAGTTGTTATTTTAAGTCATTAAATTTTGGGGCGGTAGAAAGATTAACTGAAGCAAAATTAAATCATTTTATTTGCCATTTTTTAACCGTGATAATTTATTCATTACTTTGTAGCTCATTTCAAACTGTTTCTCAGAGACCATTAAGATGTATTCCACACTATTCAGCCATAAAAAAGAATAAAATCTTATCTGTTGAAGCAACATGGATGGAACTGGAGGCTATTATCTTAAGTGAAACAGAATCCGCAAAGTCAAATACTACATGTTTTCATGTATAAGTAGGAGCTAACTAATGTGTACACAGGAACACAGAGTGTGGAATAATAGACAATGGAAAGTTGGAAGGGTGAGACGGCAAGAAGGGAGTCAGGGATGAGAAATTACCTAAAGTGTACAAGGCACATTATTTGGGTAATGGTTACACTAAAAGCCCAGACTTCACCACGATGCACTATATCCATGTAAATTTAAAAAACAGCACTTGTAAATTTAAAAAACCTTTAAATTTATGCCAAAAAAAAAAAAAAAAAGATTTATTCCAACTGACACAAGACAGAACTCTTTGAGGTTAAATACTCTACATTATTCATTATATTCATGAATAATTTAAAGCTTAAATGTCAGCATTCTAAATAATTCATAATTTTTAAAAAGTAGATAGCTTAAAATGAAATCTTATTAGGACTAAAGACATACTGATTTTATTTTTCTAATTGCTTACTATGATATTGAAAAAAATATTAAGTAGACATTGCAATGATGTTTGCAGGCTAACCTGTGAATTATACTGCTAATATTTGCTAGCAATTAGTACTAAATTTATTGGGGACAGATTTTGAAACTTTATTATCTGATTATTTAAAAACTCAATCACAATATTGAGGAAAAAAGTACTTAAAATATTTATAATTGCAAAGCATTTGGAGTCATGTTGTCTAAGCAAAATGGTTTAATATTACTTAAAAATTCTTAAATTTAAAAAATGTATGTATATTTACATATATCTAAAATTGTATTTACGTATACATACATTTATTAATAAAACTACAAAGGATTATAAAGTTATTTTGTTTGGAAAAAAAATCTTCTAGAACAATATGCAAAAGTAACATTATTATTTAAAATGTTCTTAAGTAAAAATTTACTCCACAAAATTTTCACTCCATTAAATAACTCATTTTGAGAATTTACTCTCTCAAGTTCTGGAAACAGTTACTTTAAAATAATTTACCTGTATTTTATGCATTCTTTAAAAGAAGTAAGAAGAACCAGGATAGAAGAAATAAAGAGAAAATGTAACAAAATAGGCGATAAGGCAGTTTTATATGGAAGTTTATATGCTCCTAGGTACAGAATAGGACTATTATTTCTGAGAAACCAACTGGAATTAACACTTATTCAAATAGAAACCAACTCATATACTTTCAAAATTGAAGCAAATTCTCAAACTATGTCATAAATACCTTTGCATCATTAATTTTGGCAACCGAGTTTACTGACTGTCAGAAGTATCTCATATTTGCATTATTGAAAACATCTTTCAAAATAGTTGTCATTTTAGTTTTAAGGAGTCCTGAATATTTGTCTAAATTTGAGCTATGATTTATTTAACTATAAAAAAGTATTTTCTGCAAGTACATTTCTATAAGCAAGCTACAGCTTCACAATTCCTCTACCCATGTATATGGCTGTAAAATGAATGCTAACATATGGTCTATAATTGTATATACATACACACAGTTCACATACATATGAACTATGCTTCTCAATTTGATGGTAAAATATAGAAGGAGAAAACATAAATGGAAGGATTAAAATGTACTTACAAAGTCAAAGTCTCCATCTTGAGGAACTTTCCAGTTATCAGGAAAAACATTTTTGGACAAAGGGAAGGGTTCATGCATGTTCTGATTACAGTTTTCGTGACTCTTATTCTTGAAGTCTTGCTTATCAAAGTAGTCCATGAAAGATGGTCTTTGTACTTGTGGTGAGGTTGCATTTCCTTAGGTAAACAAAGAACATAAGGAAGGTATAAGTTCTTACATTTAAGGAAGTATTTTCATTGAAGTATGATTTTTTATGAAGCCATATAATAAATTTGCACTGGTCAGATTCAAGGCCAACAAAATTAATTTCATAAAGAACAAAGTGAAATAAGAATTTAAAAATACCCAGACCAAATAAAAATTAAGCTGATGATTAGGCAAAGGTCTGGAATGTTTAGATTGTAGAAACACTTCAGAAGTCTAGTAGAATCATTATCGTAATTTTATTAAAAATCATTTCAGTTGTATTTCAAATTTCTCAAAGAAAGTAAAGTTTAAAAACTCAAGTGTTTTTGGTGGACTTTTTTTCTTTGCATTTAAGCCTGCATTGCTATTGTTATCGTACATTTTCAGCTGTAAGAAATTATGAGGACTTGGCTAGGCATGGTGGCGCATTGCCCGTAACCTCAGAACTTTGGGAGGCTAAGGTGGAAGGGACGCTTGAGCCCAGGAGCTCAAGACCAGCCTGAACAACATAGCGAGACGCTGTCTCTATGAAAAATACAAAAAATTAGCCAGGTGTGGTGGCACCTATCTGTAGTCCCAGCCACTTCGGCGGCAGAGGTTGGGAGGGTCACTTGAGCCTGGGAGGTCAAGGCTGCAGTGAGTCATGATTGTGCCACGCACTTCAGCCTGGGCAACAGAGCAAGACCCTGTTCAAAAAAAAAAAAAAAAAATATATATATATATATATATATACTTTTAAAAAATTAAAAAAGAAATTATAAGGACTTACTCAGTTTCCTCTTATATCTATCAAACTGCTTCCTCAGTGTTTCTGATTCCCTCTGCCCCTGGCTGGACTCCCACAGCTTCGCCTGCCAAACTTACATCCATGTCTCCCAACACTATTTCTCTAGCCCAGACCTTGCTCCAAAGTTCCATATCTAACTTTGCTTGCTATTAGATAACTTAATCTGAGGTGAGCTGTCAATTAATTTACCAGTTCTAAAACTAAATTCAAGATCTTTCCCTTCAAACCTACAGCTCCCCTGACATATTCTATCTCCACTAAAGTCAACCTTATTTACTCAATCCCCAAAAATAATAAAGTTGAGAATTAACTCAGACTCCTCCCTTCCCACCACAGCAAACTGATCATTAGGTCTTTTAATTCTACTTCTCAATACAGTTAACCATAACCCCTTTTCTCTACTTATCATTGCAACTGTCTTAGTTTAGCTTCTAATCATTTCTTGCTTAGGCCATTGTAGCAGCCTCCAAACTCGTCTCCTTGCTTCCAATATCACAGTTTTGATTTTAATTTCCGTCAACGTGGTGACCCCTCTAAATACGAAGCAAACCATGTCATTCTCCTCAGCATTTTTCAATGGCTCTTCATTTTTTATAGTGAATGACTAAATAGGAAATAAATATTTGGAATAACTAGATTTTTAATCTGGCTATACTGGTCTTGATTGGTGGTTTTCAAATTGGATTCCTTAAAGCCCCAGGGCTCCAAATAAATGTCCCAGAGACCACCAAGAAGGCATTTCCCATATAATTCTCCAAATAGAAAGTAAACTGCTTTCTTTTTTCTTTTTGAGATGGAGACTTGCTCTTGTTGTGCAGGCTGGAGTGCAATGGCATGATCTCAGCTCACCATAACCTCCGCCTCCTAAGTTTAAGCAATTCTCCTGCCTCAGCCTCCCAAGTAGCTGGGATTACGGGCACGTGCCACCATGCCTGTCTAATTTTGTATTTTTAGTAGAGATGGGGTTTCTCCATGTTGGTCAGGCAGTAAACTAGTTTCTTAAAAATTTTTGGTGGGAGTTCACCTCCCCACAAGGGGCCCTGCTGGGCAACTGTAAGTTACAAAAAGTATTTTTAAAATGTAAAATTGAAATCTTTCCTTCTGTAATTTACACTCATGTTCCAAAGAAATTCCTCTTTCATATAATTGTCCCTCAAATATCTGAAGACAGAGGTAATGGCTCCTGTCTTGGCTGTCTATTTTTAATATAAAACATCCCCAGTTCCTTTCATAGGATATATGTTTCAGATTCATCACCAACTTGTTTACTTGCCTATGGAGACATTCTAGTCTCACTGTTCCTCTAAAAAGAGACATAATATTCATAACTGTCGTCTGATCAACCTAGATTGCATTTGTAATAGTCCTGGCACAGTTTAAAACTACAGTTACTACTATGACAACTAAGTAACACTGTTAGTTGGGATGAGCTTTAGGGTCATTTTGGTCAAAAGAATGCATGCTAAGACTTATTTTTAGTCTTTAAAAATATGAGGAAAGCCTAAATCGATGCCTAGTTTATGTGGCAAATCAGAGAGTCTGGAATTCTTAAACAAACTCCAAAAAACAAAAGGGTGGGGTGAGGGAGACAGAACTGACAGGTAAGCATCCTATCTCCTCTTTCCTTTCTCCCTACTTTTGGATCTCTATGTGCGTTATTTGACAGATTGGGAACCTAGGTGAGACGGCTTAGGTGAGGATACAAGAGAGAGTGGTAATGGTGATATTTATTCATTAAAAAAATTCTGTCTCATTGCCTTAAAATAAAATGGTTTGCCATATCAAAACGAAGGTTTTATTGACTTCACCTTATGTGTTTAAAAAATTTTTTTTAAGATAAAATTTACCATCTTACTTCTGGGTATATATCTGGAATTGAAAGCCAGGTCTTGAAGAGATATCTGTATCCCCATGTCTATTGCAGCATTATTCATAATAGCTAACACATGGAAGCAAGCCAAGTGCCCATTTGCAGAGGAATGGATAAGCAAATTGCGAGGAAGGAAATTCTGACACATGCTACAACATGGATGAACCTTGAGGACATTATGCTATGTGAAGTAAGCTAGTAACAAAAGAACAAAATACTGTATGATTCCACTTATGTCAGGTACTTAGAGTAGTCAACATCATAGAGACAGAAAACAGAATGGTGGTTACTAGGGAATAAGAGGAGAGGGAAATGGGGAGTTAGTGTTTAATGGGTACAGAAGTTGAGTTTTACAAGATGAAAAGAGTTATGGAAATTGATGGTGGTGATGGCTGCACAACTTTATGGAAGTGCTTAAGATTAATACCACTGAACTAGATGCAGGCATATTTTGCAGTTATTGCAGGTTTGGTTCCAGACCACTGCAATGAGAGTATTGCAATAATGTAAGTCACATAAATTTTTTGGTTTCCCAGTGCACATAAAAGTTATGTTTGTTTGATTGCTTGCTTTCACAACGTCAATTTTCTTAAAGAAAAATTTTTTTAACTTTTAAGGTCGGGGGTATATGTGCAGGTTTGTTACACAGGTAAACTTGTGTCATGGGAGTTTGTTGTACAGATTATTTCATCATCCAGGTGTCAAGCCTAGTACTCATTTGTTGTTTTTTCTGATCCTCTCCCTCCTCCCAGCCTCCACTCTCTGAAAAGCCCCAGTGTATGTTGTTCCTCAGATGTGTCCATGTGTTCTCAACATTTAGCTTCCACTTGTAAGTGAGAACATGCAGTATTTGGTTTTCTAAAAGTTATGTTTAGGAGTGACATCAGATAGATGGCTGACAAGAGAGGCCTGGTGCTAGTCCACTCTCAACAAAAAAAGACCAAGGCACCAGATAAACAGCTAAGATTTGACTGGAGTGTCAGTGGGAGAACCCTGGAGAATAACGAGAGAGTGCAGAGGCACCTGTGCTGCTTAGAAGTCCAGTTTGGGGTGGCTGTAGAGTTTCTTAAATAATACCACAGTGAAGTTTGCAGTATCAGTTAACTCTTCCTTTCACAAAAGAGTTCTCTGTAGCATGAGATGCTGTTTCATAACATTTTACCCACAGCAGAGCGTCTTTCAAAATTGTAGTCAATCCTTTCAAACTCTACCACTGCTTTATCAACTAAGTTTATGGAAAATTCTAAGTCCTTTATTGTCATTTCAACAATGTTCACAGCATCTTCACAAGGAGGAGATTCTATCTCAAGAAATCACTTTCTTTGCTCATCCACAAGAAGCAACTCTTCATCGGTTCAAGTTTAATAATGAGATTGCAGCGATTCAGTCACATCTTCAGGTTGTACTTCCAAGTCTAGTTCTTTCACTATTTCCATCACACTTGCAGTTACTTCCTCCACTGAAGTCTTTAACCCCTTAAAATCATCCATGACGGTTGGAATGGACTTCTTCCAAACTCCTGTTAATGCTGATCTTTTTACCTCTTCCTATGAATCACAAATGTTCTTAATAATATGAAGAATGGTGAATCCTTTCCAGAAGGTTTTCAACTTACTTGGCCCAGATCCATCAGAGCAATCACTATTTATGGCAGATATTGCCTTATAAAACGTATTTCTTAATAATAAGACTTGAAAGTCTAAAATACTCCTGGATCTATGAGCTACAAAATGGATGTTGTGTTAGCAGGCATGAAAACAACACTAATTGCCTTGCATACTTCCATCAGAGCCCTTGGGTGACCAGGTGCATTCTCACTGAGCAGTAACAGTCCAAAGATAGTATTTTTTTCTCAGCAGTAGGTCTCAACAGTAGGCTTAAAATATTCAGCAAACCATGGTGTAAACAAATGTGCTGCCATCCAGGCTTCATTATTCCATTTACAGAACACAGGCACAACAGAATTAGCATAATTTTTAAGGGCCCTAGGATTTTCAAAATGGTAAATGAACATTGGTTTTAACTTAATCTCCACCACCAGCCTGTCCTTTGAAGCTCAGAAGCCAGGCATTGACTTCTCCTCTGTAGCTAGGAAAGTCTTAGATGACATCTTCCAATAGAAGACTTTTTCTTCTATATTGAAATTATGTTGTTTAGTGTAGCCACCTTAATCAATTATCTTAGCTACATCTTCTGGATAACTTGCTGCAGCTTCTACACCAGTACTTGCTGTTTCACTTTGTACTTTTATGGTACGGAGATAGTTTCTTTCCTTAAATGTCATGAACCAACCTATGCTAGCTTCAAACTTTTCTTCTGCAGCTGCCTCACCT